TATTTTGAAAAAGAAAACGTACAAATATACCTTATAGGTATGGCCCTCCATCCATCCATCCATCTTCTCCCGCTTATCCGTGGTCGGGTCGCGGGGGTAGCAGTTCCAGCAGAGAGCCCCAAACTTTATTTTCCCTGGCGACATCAACCAGCTCTGACTGGGGGATCCCAAGGCGCTCCCAGGCCAGCAAAGAGATATAATCCCTCCACCTGGTCCTAGGTCTACCCCTTGGTCTCTTCCCAGCTGGACGTGCCTGGAACACCTCCCTAGGGAGGCGCCCAGGTGGCATCCTAACTAGGTGCCCGAACCACCTCAACTGGCTCCTTTCGACGCGAAGGAGGAGCGGCTCAACTCCGAGTCCCTCCCTGATGACCGAACTTCTCACCTTATCCCTAAGGGAGACACCAGCCACCCTGCGGAGAAAACCCATCTCGGCCGCTTGTATCCGCGATCTCGTTCTTTCGGTCATGACCCATCCTTCATGACCATAGGTGAGGGTAGGAACGAAAATGGCCCGGTAGACAGAGAGCTTTGCCTTCTGGCTCAGCTCCCTTTTCGTCACAACGGTGCGGTAAAGCGACTGCAGTACCGCTCCCGCTGCTCCGATTCTCCGGCCCATCTCACGCTCCATTGTTCCCTCACTCGAGAACAAGACCCCGAGATACTTGAACTCCTTCACTTGGGGTAAGGACTCATTCCCTACTTGAAGTGGACAGTCCATCGGTTTCCTGCTGAGAACCATGGCCTCAGATTTGGAGGTGCTGATCCTCATCCCAGCCGCTTCACACTCGGTTGCGAACCGATCCAGTGAGTGCTGAAGGTCGCAGACCGATGAAGCCATTAGAACCACATCATCTGCAAAAAGCAGTGGTGCAATCCTTAGTCCACCGAACTGCAGACCCCCTCCCCCATGACTACGCCTCGAAATCCGATCCATGTATATTACAAACAGGATTGGTGACAAAGCGCAGCCCTGGCGGAGGCCAACCCTCACCGGTAACGGGTCCGACTTACTGCCGAGGACCCGGACACAGCTCTCGCTTTGGGAGTACAGAGATTGGATGGCCCTGAGTAGAGACCCCCTCACCCCATACTCCCGCAGCACCTCCCACAGTAACTCCTTGGGAACTCGGTCATACGCCTTCTCCAAGTCTACAAAACACATGTAGACCGGATAAGCGTACTCCCAGGCCCCCTCCAGGATCCTTGCGAGAGTAAAAAGCTGATCTGTCGTTCCACGACCAGGACGGAATCTGCATTGTTCCTCCTCAATCTGAGGTTCGACAATCGGCCTGACCCTCCTTTCGAGTACCTTAGAGTAAACTTTCCCGGGGAGGCTGAGTAGTGTGATGCCTCTGTAATTGGCACACACCCTCTGATCCCCCTTTTTAAAAAGGGGAACCACCACCCCGGTCTGCCACTCCTTCGGTACTGTTTCCGACTTCCACGCAACGTTGATGAGACGTGTCAACCATGACAGTCCCTCAACACCCAGAGCCTTCAGCATTTCCGGGCGGATCTCATCCACCCCCGGGGCTTTGCCACTGTGGAGTTGTTTGACGACCTCAGTGACCTCCCCCCGGGAGATTGGTGTTGATCCTCCGTCATACTCCAGCTCTGCCTCTAACATAGAGGGCGGAGTTGTCCCATCCTTACTGTACACAGCTTGGATGGTTCCCTGCTTCCCCCTCCTGAGGTGTCGGACAGTTTTCCAGAACAACTTTGGTGCCGCCCGAAAGTCCTTCTCCATGTCTTCTCTGAACTTCTCCCACACCCGCTGCTTTGCCTCGGCCACGGATGAGGCTGCTGCCCTTCGGGCCTGTCGGTACCTTGCAACTGCCTCGGGAGTCCCCCGGGATAACAAATCCCTGAAGGCCTCCTTCTTCAGTCGGACGGCTTCCCTGACCACCGGTGTCCACCAGGAGGTTCGAGGCTTACCGCCCCTTGAGGCACCTAGGACCTTGAGACCACAGCTCCCCGCCGCGGCTTCGGCAATAGAGGCTTTGAACACCGACCACTCTGGTTCAAGCTGGCTTTGGGGACGTGGAAGGTATGGCCCTACAATATATTATTCAAATATAGCATGATAGGTCTCCTTTAACTAAGTGTATGCATGTGCCACGTTTTAAGCAACCCGTAGCCCTAAAAAAACGTACTATCTGTTTAAGCCATTGAACTCAGACACACAACTTTCACTATCCAGCTTTCCACATGTCTTACAGCTTTACTTACTACATTTCAGAGAGATCTGCATAACCGGGCAGGGGTGCCCACACTTTTTCAGCAGGGGTGCCCACACTTTTTCAGCAGGGGTGCCCACACGTTTATAAATATGCTATAAATAAAACTTGATTTGATTTGATTAAAAAAACTGTGGCGGATAAACTAATTGCACCGCAGTAGCGCATAATACCTTCAGATGAGGAGGTGAGGCCCCCTCATAACTGCATGAACCCGTATGGCACGATACGACTCAGTACATCTTTGGTAATTGTTATACCCTTTCTTTAGTAGAATTGTATAAATTGGAAGGCTGACTAGATAATCAGCTCGTCGGTGATGTGCAGCCCATGCGTGGTGAACTGCGTGTTGGAAAATATGAGATCTCAGACTGGCTTACCTGTACGTCAATCACGTAGCAAATGCCATAGTAAGGATGAATGATAGGCTAACTTACATTTTTTTGTTTTTTTAAATGAATCTTTTTATTTTATTATTTTTTTAAATGCTATGCGATCTACCAACACGTTCTCACTCCCAACCCGTCACATGTTTACGGACGGTCAGGGCCCCTCCCCGTCACACTATTACGCACAGGGTACCCCTTGAGAGTCAGTTTTCAATGGGCAGGGCTTCTCATTGACTTGCATAGAGCTCCCTGAACGTTGGTAATAGATGAGTTGAGATCGCGGCGAAATGCTCACCGCAGATCCATTCTCACAGCCTTTATCAACCTTTTTCTTTCTCAATATCAAGCCACACTTATTGTTTTTACTTCTTTATTTTAATTGAATAATGTAGGACTTTTGTTGTCGTCAGTTATGGGGAGAGTAGGGGCTCAGAATACTGAAATCTGGATTGTTTCATCGTGTTTTCCTTCTAATTTTGTATTTTCTCTAAACCACACACTGTTATTTACTCAACAATAACACATAGTTATCCTTGTGTTTATATATTTGTTTGATTAATAAACACAAGTTGGAGTCCGTCAGGACCGAGGGTCGGAGCAGCTCATTTGCTTTAGAGAATTTTACACCAGGAAGTAAGTATTCTCTCCGCTTCGCTTGACAAACCCCGTGATAGTCCTCAAGCTCTGTGATTGGAGAGTGTGCTCCGAGGGTTACGCCGAGCGTCAAACAAAACTTTGAAATGGGATGGAACCACGGCAGACTGTCCAAAACTGGATTTGAACGGGTCCACCCCGTCCCCAGAACTACACATGCTGGCTATTGTGTGTTTTGCAACATGTGGCACGTCTCTACTGGGAATTGTAGTTTTAAAAGACGTTTTCGTATTTCCCATAATAAGAAGTTGCCAGTATTAAACTGTGTACATCCCTGGAGGTTTAGGGGATAGGAAACACTCAAATTTAAAACATATAATTAATAAATGGGTGAAAATTGCTTGTGCCCATAATGGGCAGCATTAATATATATACACACATGACAGCTAAGGTCAGAAGAGCTTTATTTAACAGCTGCTCTTATGTCTGTGACCCCTCCTTTTGTTCATTGATAAGCCTGAAACATGCACTTGTCAAGGTTCAGAGGCACATTTAGCAAATATGGCAGTAGCCATCGATCAGCTTAAGATAAGATATACTTTATTGATCCCAAGTTGGACAAATGTGCGTTACATCAGCATGTGTAACAGTTGTAAATATGCAGTGGTGTTTATTTGTAAATCATTTAGTATAATCACACAAATTCTGTGTTCTATATTTAATAATTCTGTGTTCTTTATTTATTGATTGTTCAATACCTGACAAGGTCGGAGATGAAAAACCTGGGTCGCAGGTTCCTCAACAGTGCATTACAAGACATCAATATGTGTATACCTCCACCATTAAACTTTCGTATTCTGCACATTTCTTATACTATCTACATACATCTTATAAGAGTATAATACATATGTATAATATCAGTTCAAATAAGTGCTTAAACATACAGTAGTTAACATTGCAGGAAAGCAATATATTAGTATAATAATATAGCCTATTGCTAAAGTATACTTTGTCAGGCTTAATATTTATACACGCAAAGCTTTTTTCTTATTCAAAATAAGACCTTAACCTAAAGTATTCTTTAATGTTTAAATACAGCCTTATTAGTTTGTCTGTCTGTGTCTCCTATTAATATCTAATAATACAAATAATACATTTCAATAACGTGCTTTAACCACCAGGTGTCCCTTTCTATCAGCTGTGCACCGTTATGGTGTAAATATACCAATATACCGATTGGATCAAATATAAAAGTCAGCCGAATTAGTATTGATACTGCAAGGACACTTATATTGTGAAGAGAAATTGAAGATGTTGTTTAATTGCTGATATATTTATGATCCACGTCACATATTCAGTTTTGGCGGCAGTTGTTCCTGCTTGTCTAGAAGTCTTCTCATCAGGGCTCTATAAATAGAGAACTACGGCAGATATGTAATATTTAATGCAGCCGAACCGTGTATTACAATGCCGTTATGTGATGACCTTCAAGGAGAAAAGCAAGCACACTCGGAATAAAGTATTTTATTTTTTAAAAATGTTTTCAGATTTCACATCAACAGGAAGTCCGGTTAACTATAATGTCCGTGCGGAACAATACCCCAACCCATAGATCCGCGGGTGAATAATGTCAATCACCACATTACACACATCCCTTCACATTTACATTTTAATTTACATTAAAGTAATTCGTGAGGCCTTCTAAAATGTTTTTAAATATAATTAGGGTTGTAGTTGAAGAGTTTGTAAATTATTGCGGTGCCTGGCGATTTAATACATTAATGTAGCCTTTGTTTCTGCTCAAAGAGGTGTTGACCAGCTGGGGCAACAAGAACATCGGCAAAATCGAGTGTGACTATTACAACATTATTATTATATTAATATTGACAATAACAACCGACCGTCGGGGAGCGTTCTCATGGCGTCTATTATCAACGCTATGGGAGGTCTATGAAGGTCTATGGGACGCCCTGCCCGTTGAAAACTGACTCTCAAGTACCCTGGTTGGGAGTGAGAACGTGTTGGATCTACCCACACTACCTTTGCGATCGACATATTAGGCACCCCTGACCTAGGGGGAGGAGGAAGTAAAAAGTACAAAACCTTGCTACCTTCTTTCTTCTTTTTCCTATAGTAAAATCAAAAGCAATCAAACAATGAAAACACGACATCTGAAAAACATTGTTCAGTTGAAATCAGATTAATAACACCACTTTACCTTATTAACATCTTTGTTCTTGACATTCTGTGACACTGTTTAGTATGTGGTCAAAACTCACACCTGGTATAACTGAGAAAACTATAAATCACACATTGAGATTGAAAAAGGGGGACGGTGAAGATTAACAAGGAGTCAGACAGTCAAAGGTTTGATAAATCTGTTGCCGTCTCAAGCCAACCTCTAAGGAAGTTATATGCTGTAATTACGCCATTTTTTAACCACATTGTGAAAGAGTTGTCTTCAGCTGCTTTTCTGGCCCTCTCTTCCTGCTCTTCTCTAAATCTCCTCCTCTCCTCCTCCATTTCTCTTTCAAACATTTCATGTACCTTTTTCATCCTCTCTCTGTCATCTTTCATTTCCTTCATTTGTTTCTCATACTTTTCCAATATTTTCTTCTCCATTTCCTCTTCCTCTTTGCGCATTTCTTCTTCTCTCTCTTCAATGATTCTCTGTTTCTCCTCTTCTATGGCCCTCTCTACCTCCTGGAACATTTCAGTGGTGTAATGGCTTCCTCCGTTCTTCTCTGTTATGTTTCTGATCTTGTCGAGCAGCTCTCTGACCTGAGAACGATCCTTCTCCTTATTATTGAAGACGTGGTACTGCCCGTTACATCTGGCCACAAGTTCCTGCAGATCTACACTTTGCTTCAATAACTCTTCAATAGTTTGGTCTTCGAGCTGATCACCGTGGGTAAAGAGAACCATGCTGTATCTGTCTGCTTGCTCTCCAAAGATTTCCTGAATCATCTGCACTGACTGCTTTTCTTCATCTGTGAATCTGCCCAGTCTGATGACGACCAGGAAGACATGAGGTCCAGGAGAAGCAAAAACAATGCTCTGAATAACGTTCTGTCTGGTCTTGTTTTCATCAGTGCTGGTGTCAAACAGACCTGGAGTGTCAATGACAGCAACCTTTTGTCCATCCACTTCCCCAAAGGTCTTAGCACAGACTTTAGTCAGAGATTCAAAAGAAACCTTTGATTCAAAGTCCTCTTTTCCCAGAATGGTGTTTCCTGTGGCGCTCTTCCCAGATCCAGTTTTCCCAATCATCACAATCCGGAGTACCTTATCATTGTGGCCCGAGTATTTGTTGTGGCAGTTTGTAGAAGGTTGAGACGAACAGACTGAAAAACAGAAACAACTATTTATTGCTGTCTTCATATGTTTGTTACAAACAGTTGTTTACCCTTTGAGGTTCCAAATATAACCTTTTATGGTTATAAAAATAAACCACAAGGAGTGCCTGTCAGACCCTCTAACATCTGATATCACATTTACATCAAACCAAACAATATAATCTAAAATCACAACACATTAAATCAGAAGGAAACCCAACTTGTGCAGGAGTGTGAAGCTGACTGTTGAGCGGCCCAGACCAAGCAAGGAGGCAGAGGCAGAACATCCAAAAATATAACCCGACGTGGGCATTTATTAAAATCATGTGCACAAAGTTCACAGCCTCAATCCTGCTGTTCTCCTTGCACACATCCTGCAGCCACAAGGATCTCACACACCCTACCAGCCTCCAAAACAGACAGGGCAACAGACCCTAAATACACCCACTCTAATCAGCACAACAAGACACAGGTGAGGGGGGAGGAGACAACACAGGACACCAGGTGCACACAATCATCAGCCACAGACATCAACTGTACTGTGCAATCACGCTAATAAAGTGCAATATTACCCGGCCTGAAGCCGTCAGTCCATAGTGACGAAGTTACCTTCGTCACAATGAGCATTGGCAGGAACACAGGGAATCACACAAGGAAAATAAAACCAGACATCAGGAACCAGAGGGGATCAGAGACGACGTATAGAAAGCGAATAAAAGGGAAGACATATATCAGACAAACAGGCGTGAAAACAAAAAGAAAAAACAGACGGAGGTAAATGGATTGTACTTTTACAATCAAATCTCTTTTCATACTGTGAGTCATTCACCCATTCACACCCCATTAATGCAGAGCAGCACTACTTGCTCTAGGGAAGCTAACACTCACGTCACACACACACTCACACACCATTGGCAATCAGGAACAACTCAGGGTTCAATATCTTACCTGAGGAATCGTCGACATGTTGACGGCACGGGCTGGGCTCTAACCCACAACATCCTGGTTGAAAGACGACCGCACTCCCAAGCAGCCAAAGTCGCAGGAACACTTTTCAAAATAAAACAAGACACGTGAAAAACAGGATCATGACAGACACATAGTCGGATTCCAGATGTCCCTGATAATGCAGTCAACATAATTCAGCTAGGAAGGATTCAGCGGGGGAATGACCATGAAATATAGGAGAGTAGCTGGAAAGGGGCATAGGAACTCGGCAGTCAGCCTTCGATTGAAACCGTTGTGGAGCAAATGCCCTAAAAAGAGGACGGCAGGTATATATACACAAAAATCAAGTTTTTATTTAGGAAAATCCGATAACAAATACAGTTAAACACCAAAACAGGGGGACCCGGCAAGGTCAAACAGAACAAAGAAAACTGAACTGAGTACAGACCAGAAGTGGATAATTAACACGACCCAACAGGAACCAGATGGGATTATAAACAGGGGTGCACATAACTTTTTTGCCCTGGTTCTCAAAGGAGCACCTGGAGATGTTGCTTGGTGCTCATCCTTAAAATGAAATAAACCGTAACTTTTGAGGGGTCTTGACTTTATTTGCCAGACACACGGCACTGAACACACATGCAGAGGTGAACACAGAACACACATGCAGAGGTGAACACAAGACAACATTAGCACGACCAGTAATCCTACAAGCTGTCATCACTACCCTCCTGACTGTTCTCCTCACTGTCTTCCTCTGTCAGACATGGTAGCTGATGATGTAGGCCTACTTCTTTCTCTCTGGTTGAGTCTGCGATTAGATGCTTGCATCCACAAGTCAACAGCTGGGTTTGGGTCGAAAGTCTCTGTTGTCATCTTAGACAAGTGGATGTAATCAAATAAGTATGTGAACATAACCAATAACCTACCATAGCCAATAACAAATTAATGTAACTTATTTTATTTGTGTTGTTCATTCATATCTTATTTTACCTTAACATTTATTTATGCATTTTTTTGTATCTCTCCAGTTTTAAAGGATATTTTTGGTTACTGTCCTATAGTATACATTGGAATGATTTAAAACCTGTTTATCCCAATAATTATAAAGGAGTGCCTTGGAAATATGTGTTTACATAAATTGCGACCAAACCGTTTGAACTTAGACTTTACCTCACTGAGCTGTAGTTATCAGTCTGGCTGGAGAGGACTCTCCCTCCACATTATTGTAGAAACATCTTCTTCTTATATCCGTTAGAGCAGCTAGCACCAGATTCTAATAACAACAGCGCTGGCCTGGTACCGGTGCACCCTCCCTCGCTCACTCGTATTTTGGCTGTGAGCTGCGGGCGCCAGATAAGCCAACATCCCCCATTTTCATCACTTACAGCGCCCATCGTACAGGGCAAATGAAACGTGTAACCGGGGTGAAAAGGGTGTTACATTTACTTAATTATGAATATTGTTACATCAAGGCCGAAAATTAGGATGAGCCCCAACGGTCAAAATGTTTGTTTCCCTCCCAGAGCTGCCAGCGCAGCGCCTCCACAGATCTGGCGCCCTAGGCGAACATCTAGCCAGAGCTACGGGCCGACCCTGAGTTCATATCATGGTTCATACATGTATACAACTCGCAAATATCTTTCTCTCTCTCTCTCTCTCTTCTCTCTCTCTCATCTCTCCTCTCTCCTCTATTTTCTCTTTTCTCTTCTCCCTTCTCTCTCTCCCTCTCCCTCTCTCAATGTTGGTACGCAAATGCGCTTTGTTTCAAATGACCCGGTGCTCTTTTTTTGGCGGAGGTGCGCATGCGCACCTGCGCACCAGTTATGTGCAGCCCCGATTATAAACAATGAATCACAGCAGTGATATTGCTAGTTTTTTTTATCGCCAATTTGCACGTAATTTCATATTGTGTATTGTTGTTGTTGTTTTTTGTTTTGGGTCAAAGGGGTCGCGGCCGCCCTTATGACAGCAGGCAGCTGGGTGGAAGGTCTCTCACTCAAAGAAGGGCGGGGGGATCTCAGGTCGCCTCACTATGGGGGAGAGAGAGGGGGGGGGGGGGCGGCGGGTACACTATCTCTATCAAATAAACACTTTCGATGTTTATAAAGTAGTACTGCAATTAGTCAAATTAATCTCACGCCTCGAACTGCCACCAAATTCATTCATTTAAATAGTTTTGGCAGAAATATATTTTTCCTTGCCTGGGTTGTATGAAACAATAAATAATTATTTAAAAACTGACTACGTTAAATTGGTATAGTCTTGACCTGTAGTTGGCAGTGTTGGGGGAGGGGTACGCTTTGCATTGATTCTCGGGTCGAAAATGAATACCTACGGTGAAGGAGAAAAAAGACACAAGGCATCAGGTGCTCAGTTTAGAAAGAAAAGTAAAGAAGAAGGAGAGAAACGCTCAAAAGGTAAAGCGCGGCTGTGTGGACGGGCCGTAACATATCATTTATTTAGTTGGGCTATATTAAGCATGTCATTAAATGATGCCGGTAACCTTAACTCCATTGCTGCTTCTTAGCTGCCTGTGTTTCGTCGTCAGTTCAGCAACTAACAATGGAATACTTTTCCTGCAATTTGTTCTCATTGGATAGATTTAGAACTGAAACCATTGTACCAAATATAAATGGCATACTGTACCGAATATTGGAAACCCAAATGTAAATGTTACATTCTGGTCTGAACTGAGATGTTACAGCCAAGAAAATCTACAAAGAGAAATGATGACACTAACCCCATTTTAAGGCCAATGTGCTGCATTCACACACAAACTAATTAAAGATCAATTTATATGAACACAATTATAACTGACGAAATATTTCAACCAAATAAGAAGGGAAATGAAAGTAGACTGAAGACCAATAATAGTTTACAAATAAGTCCTTGATCATCATATTACTGATGAAAACAATGCAAAATATGAATGCACAAATATTAAAAAAGACACCTGTGTCCCCGATAGATAAAGGATATAAAACATGTTGATCCTGACCTACCGTCTTTGTTAATAAAGCCTCCCATTATTGGATTGTAGAGAGCAGAGGTGCTGGTTTACAGTGAGGTAAAGACTGAGAGTTAAGAGACTGTTTGAAACAATTCCTTTTGTATGAGCTGCATGCAGCAAACCACACCCAATGCAGACTGGGTGTGTACGTGTTATTTTACAGGCTGTTTATCCATTGAGACTAAATCAAAAAGGTTCAGCAAACTCTGTCTTTGGGTGATGTTTTTTAATTAGTTTTAAATGCAGTACTGTCTTTATATGTACAAGATAAATTACAAGTTTTGATGAATGTAGTCTTCAGTGTTTCTAGTCATGTCAAGTCTTTTTTATTCATACATCCATACTTTGAAAATCACAAACTCTACCAACAGAACTTTTCATTCTTAGACCCTAAATTGTTATGAGTAAAAACTGCCCAAAAAACCTTAAATGGTGAAATAAATGTTTATAAACGTTGATGTGTTTACAGAAAGACCAACAATGCAAAATGACATTATGGACGATCGGGATGACAAAGTTAAACATAGCAAACACTAAGAACTTCTCTACAAGTTGATATGTCGCTTTATTCAAAATGGTTTTATGTAACCTACAACAGATCTACACAGCCTACACATAACACACAAGAACATTATTATTTTCGGATAGACACACCTACATAAAGTAGCATCAAAATGTAGCCGTTGCATTTATTCTGCATTTCACTTAACAATCTTTTACTTGTCGTGTTTTTTCTCAGCTCTTCAATGATCATTGGAATTTGTTGATTGACGCCCTTTATTGTTCTGTTTTTAGCACAGCTTGAATATCCAGTCCACCTGCATGTTCAGTGTTCATTTAGAGAACTATAAACAGCAAAACCAGTTCACCCTCCCATCAGCATTTACAGGAAAGGCCACCTGTTCTTTGAAATGCCACAACAACAACAAATGCATGTACAGAGTGCAGCTAGCTCTTTGGATTGTCACTCTTAGTTTCTCTCCACAACAAGATGGCAAATGTGCATGTGTACATATTATTCTGTACTTTTACAAGATTGTAAACCCTCAAAACATTTCTAAATTGGACCTTCAACAGGACTGCTGTAGCCTCATATACACTTGAGCTGAAAGATATTAACATTTTAGCTTGTATTGAAAGTTGTAATGCTTCCGGTTGATTAAGATCCTGATGGAATGATTATGGTGACTTCCTACTCTCTGAATGCATATGGCCTGTGAGTGTTGCATTAAGAGAGACTTTTATAAAATATTGGACTACATCTGTTGTATTTAGTATTATGGTATTAAAATCACCCATAAAATATTTATTTTATTTTATGGGATATTTATTTTAAGGTTATTTGGGTGGAAGGAAAGCTTCTGAAGACATTGGTCTACACGTTGAAAGAAAAATATCAAATAATAAAATCTAATCACTCATGCATTAAGTAACTGCTATTATTACAAATAAGACCCAATGAGAAAACAAAAGAACAGGAATTTATGAATATTAATAAGTCATAACAGTGGTTGGAGTCATGACCGAAAGAACGAGATCGCGGATACAAGCGGCCGAGGTGGGTTTCCTCCGCAGGGTGGCTGGTGTCTCCCTTAGGGATAAGGTGAGAAGTTCGGTCATCAGGGAGGGACTCGGAGTTGAGCCGCTCCTCCTTCGCGTCGAAAGGAGCCAGTTGAGGTGGTTCGGGCACCTAGTTAGGATGCCACCTGGGCGCCTCCCTAGGGAGGTGTTCCAGGCACGTCCAGCTGGGAAGAGACCGAGGGGTAGACCTAGGACCAGGTGGAGGGATTATATCTCTTCGCTGGCCTGGGAGCGCCTTGGGATCTCCCAGTCAGAGCTGGTTGATGTGGCCAGGGAAAAGGAAGTTTGGGGCTCTGCTGGAACTGCTACCCCCGCGACCCGACCACGGATAAGCGGGAGAAGATGGATGGATGGAACTTTGGTTGGATATCGTACAGTTAAGCATCACAAGGCCAAATTGTTTATTTTAAAACCATTTGAAATACCACTTTCCCAATCAATTCAATAATCTGTTGGATTAATGAAGTGCTGCTCTCAGCTTCCTGTCTAGCGTGCATTTCCTGCATCTCTTTCAGATTTCCCCTTGCCTCCTCTTTTTCTTTTTCCTGAGTTGCTATAACCCTGATCAACCTCTCCCTGTCTGCCTCTGCTTCCCGGAGTTATTGCTCATACATTTCCTCTATCTTCTTCTCCAGTTCCTCCCGCTCTTTGCGCATTTCCACTTCTCTCTCTTTAAGGATCCGTTGTTTCTCCTCTTCTATGGCCCTCTCTGCCTCCTGGAACATTTCAGTGGTGTAATGGCTTCCTCCGTTCTTCTCTGCTATATAACTGATCTTGTCGAGCAGCTCTCTGACCTGAGAACGATCCTTCAGGTCATTATTGAAGACGTGGTACTGGCCGTGACATCTGTCCACAAGTTCCTGCAGCTCTTCACTTTCCTTCAATAACTCTTCGATAGTTTGGTCTTCGAGCTCATCACCGTAGGTAAAGAGAACCATGCTGTATCTGTCTGCTTGCTCTCCAAAGATTTCCTGAATCTTCTTCACTGCCTTCATCTGTGAATCTGCCCAGTTTGATGACGACCAGGAAGACATGGGGTCCAGGAGCAGCAAAAACAATGCTCTGCGCAACATCGTTTCTGGTCTTCTTTTCATCAATCTTGGTGTCAAACAGACCAGGAGTGTCAATAACCTTAACTCTTTGTCCATCAACTTCACCACTGGCCTTCGCACAGTTTACAGTCAAGGATTTAGCAGATCACTTTGATTTAAAGGACTCTTTTCCCAGAATGGTGTTTCCTGTGGCGCTCTTCCCAGCTCCGGTCCTCCCCACCATCACAACCCGGAGCTCTGCGTCATTGTATGTGTTTGATTCTGAACAAAAGGAAAAACCATTTAGTGCTCTGGTTTTGTGCTACACATTCATCTGTTTTGCATCAATGTATTTATCTTAATATCTATTACAACACTAAACAGTATTTTAAATGTACAATATTCAATGTGTACATTACATTCTGTTCTTGCCTTCTTATTCTATTTACATGTATATATATATAGACTGCATTTACTTGGTCCCTCACAATATTCTCTGCAACATTTATCTTATTGTATTAATTTTGTTCTGACAGGTATATGAGCTTGGGACTTAAGATTTTAATTTCTACTTGTCTGTTCAATGACAATAAAGCCCTTGAATCTTTGAAAAATGGGCACTTTCACAGTGAGCAGCTGAGGTTTAGTTCACACGTTAGCGAGTTGTACAAAGTCAATTGCATAATTAATGCAAAAAGACTCAGACGTGGGCGAATACGCAGATCTTGTACTTGAGTAAAAGTAGAAGTACTCAGATCTTGTACTTGAGTAAAAGTAGAAGTACTCAGATCTTGTACTTGAGTAAAAGTAGAAGTACTCAGATCTTGTACTTGAGTAAAAGTAGAAGCACTCAGATCTTGTACTTGAGTAAAAGTAGAAGTACTCAGATCTTGTACTTGAGTAAAAGTAGAAGTACTCAGATCTTGTACTTGAGTAAAAGTAGAAGTACTCAGATCTTGTACTTGAGTAAAAGTAGAAGTACTCAGATCTTGTACTTGAGTAAAAGTAGAAGTACTCAGATCTTGTACTTGAGTAAAAGTAGAAGTACTCAGATCTTGTACTTGAGTAAAAGTAGAAGTACTCAGATCTTGTACTTGAGTAAAAGTAGAAGTACTCAGATCTTGTACTTGAGTAAAAGTAGAAGTACTCAGATCTTGTACTTGAGTAAAAGTAGAAGTACTCAGATCTTGTACTTGAGTAAAAGTAGAAGTACTCAGATCTTGTACTTGAGTAAAAGTAGAAGTACTCAGATCTTGTTCTTGAGTAAAAGTAGAAGTACTCAGATCTTGTACTTGAGTAAAAGTAGAAGTACTCAGATCTTGTACTTGAGTAAAAGTAGAAGTACTCAGATCTTGTACTTGAGTAAAAGTAGAAGTACTCAGATCTTGTACTTGAGTAAATGTAGAAGTACTCAGATCTTGTACTTGAGTAAAAGTAGAAGTACTCAGATCTTGTACTTGAGTAAAAGTAGAAGTACTCAGATCTTGTACTTGAGTAAAAGTAGAAGTACTCAGATCTTGTACTTGAGTAAAAGTAGAAGTACTCAGATCTTGTACTTGAGTAAAAGTAGAAGTACTCAGATCTTGTTCTTGAGTAAAAGTAGAAGTGCTCAGATCTTGTACTTGAGTAAAAGTAGAAGTACTCAGATCTTGTACTTGAGTAAAAGTAGAAGTACTCAGATCTTGTACTTGAGTAAAAGTAGAAGTACTCAGATCTTGTACTTGAGTAAAAGTAGAAGTACTCAGATCTTGTACTTGAGTAAAAGTAGAAGTACTCAGATCTTGTACTTGAGTAAAAGTAGAAGTACTCAGATCTTGTACTTGAGTAAAAGTAGAAGTACTCAGATCTTGTACTTGAGTAAAAGTAGAAGTACTCAGATCTTGTACTTGAGTAAAAGTAGAAGTACTCAGATCTTGTACTTGAGTAAAAGTAGAAGTACTCAGATCTTGTACTTGAGTAAAAGTAGAAGTACTCAGATCTTGTACTTGAGTAAAAGTAGAAGTACTCAGATCTTGTACTTGAGTAAAAGTAGAAGTACTCAGATCTTGTACTTGAGTAAAAGTAGAAGTACTCAGATCTTGTACTTGAGTAAAAGTAGAAGTACTCAGATCTTGTACTTGAGTAAAAGTAGAAGTACTCAGATCTTGTACTTGAGTAAAAGTAGAAGTACTCAGATCTTGTACTTGAGTAAAAGTAAAAGTACTCAGATCTTGTACTTGAGTAAAAGTAGAAGTACTCAGATCTTGTACTTGAGTAAAAGTAGAAGTACTCAGATCTTGTTCTTGAGTAAAAGTAGAAGTACTCAGATCTTGTTCTTGAGTAAAAGTAGAAGTGCTCAGATCTTGTACTTGAGTAAAAGTAGAAGTGCTCAGATCTTGTACTTGAGTAAAAGTAGAAGTACTCAGATCTTGTACTTGAGTAAAAGTAGAAGTACTCAGATCTTGTACTTGAGTAAAAGTAGAAGTACTCAGATCTTGTACTTG